ACGGGCAATGTTTTTCATTTTGTTATAATAAAGCCCGAAGGGGCGACCTAAAGGGTCATGTTTATTGCCACGTGCATCCCATTATGCGGATCGAAGTTATCATCCTGAATCCACATGTTTTTCGTGCGACCTAATTTCTCACATATACACCCATTGGGTATTTTTTGATTAATTTCATGTTTTTCGCCGATCATAAATTTCACTGAGAATGAACTAATTTACCTATCTTTGCACTGTTTCGGACGTAATGCCATTTCGAGAGATATGAGCGGGGTATAGGTATATGAAAGGTGAGCAAACGAAAAATTATTTGGTTTTGAGCATTATGTCGAAAACAGAAAAAGTCTCAGCTGCTAATCTTAAAAACCTCGCATACAATATTCTGAAAAACTTCAACGACGATGCGGTAAAAAATAAGACTTTTCCTGAGTTGGCCAACTGCACAGAATGTGATAAGAAGATTTTTGCCCAACCTAATAAAGCATTCACAACGCTATTATGTGGCCACGTATACCATAGAATCTGTATTGAGAAGAAACTTTTACTTAGCAAGCAACTAACGTGTCCAACCCCCAAGTGTGGAAAAAGCGTTGAAATTCTTGAGGAGTTCACTACAGCCGAAACAGGTCTTAGACGTGATTCAGAATCTAGTACTTCTTCATTAGTTGGGAAAATGGGGAAGCAACTTAATATCCAATCTCAAGAAATTATTGATGAAGAAATGTCAGATGTCGATAATGGGGAGAATAAGGATAATCAACCGAGGGATAAGAGCATCGTCATGGTAGAAGGATCCCAAAAAAGACCCATCGAAGTTGACACTGAAGAGACAAATACAATGCAAGATAAATCACCTATTAAGAAAGCAAAAAAGGAAGTTAAAAATGAGGATTTCCAGATGTTGAAACGACTTATCAAAGAGTTAATTACTAATAGTCCGCATGTATCTGAAATTACCAAAGAAGCAGTGTCTGAGTCATCTGAAGATTTACTTTATTTATATAATAATATTACTAATTCTGAATTGCGAAAAGAGATTGCAAGTAGAGAAG